GACCGTGGTGTAACGCGTGTAGTCGTCGACAACCAGCAGAAAGTACCGCTCGTGGCCCTGTCCACGGACGCAAGCTGGGCCTTACACGTCCAAGTGGAGAGTCTGCAGGGCTTTAGTCGTCGGGGGGAACGAGGAGGAGTGAGGAGCGGTACACTGCCGCCCCTCGACACAGGGAAGACAGGGAGGGGGCGAGGGTGGGAGGGGAGGCAAAGACCTGGGAAGACCAGAGACAAGGAGACGGGAGTGCATGCCACAGAGGCATGCCACAAAGGGGTGACCAAGGCGGTGGTGCCATAGGAGCGTCTGGTGCGACAGGGCGCGTCACGAGCAGGGGGCCGCTAGCTGACGTGACGCAGACGCAGACGCGGCTACCTGAGGAGGCGCAGTAGTCAGTGTGTGCAGACTCGACTCAGGCCGACGGGTGAACGTGGCTAGGTGCTTGCCAGTCCGGGAGCACGTACAGATCACCACACGCTGTCCTCCAGGGGTGAAGGTATCAACCCAATGATCCTGAAGGACTGCGTTGCTCACCAAGTTCGTAGAAAACGAGAGGAGGTAAAGACCTGACAGTGAGCCAGATGGAACCGCCGGACAAGGCAGAATAGTGGAGGAACGTGCAAGGACTGGGCCCCCAGCCAGAGAGACAGCAACAGGTGCAAAGAGCGGTGTGACTATGGTACTGTTGCAAAAGAAACTGCGGGAAGCACCTGAGTCAAGCGTGAAGGTGTGCAAGGCCTCAGCAGACGCAGTACCAGAGAGAGCAGACTCACCAGCACCTAGAGCAGCAGACTCAATAGCACCTAGAGCAGCATCCTCTATACTTGAGTCTGGCGGCATACAAAGGTAACAGTCACCCTCAGCTCTAACAGTCAATGCATACATGGCAGAAAGGTTAGCATCATAATTAAAAGCAAAGATGTCTACACCCTGCCTAAGCAGCTCTGGGCGCGACTCGTGGGGTAGATTGTTTCGGTGGGCCCTAAAAAAAGCGGTCTTAGGCTAGGACCTGCTATGAAACCATGTCAGAAGTACGAGCAGGAGTGAATGAACTAGCAGCAAGATGGGTACAAATAGGAAACCCTAACTGGGTTGTACCCCATATGGGCTACCCCACTACAACCTACACAATAAGCAGCATATATATTTGAAACTTCATACCAAACTTGCCTGGTAAAAATGTAAAATCTCTAAAGTGTGACACTTTTCAAAAATTGTGTATTGTAAAAGTGTAGCGATTGCCAACGCAGCAAAGGCAGCGTCGCATCGCTACTCGCCCTCTTTTGGCTACAAAATAGGGGGTTGAGGCCATTTGGCCTCACCCACGTTCTTCTTTTCAATTTCGACGTTTGAGTTTTCGATTTCGTCCAGTCTCGCGAAGACGCAGTCCCTCCCTTGCTTCATTGCCCTGACGACTCTACTTGCGGATATATTCAAGTACAACATCGGAGCCATGGCGCCGGCGAACAACACTGCTAATCGCGAGGGCAACAAGGCAACACTCCCGTCGCCCCGAACGCCAACATTCTGCCCAGGACAACCGCCCAACACCCAAAACGGGCTGCCGAGGAGTCACGCGAGGACCTCGCCACTGGCGTTGAGGTCCTGCTGGGCAAAGGCTCCTCGGCGCCTTCCGAGGAGCCTTCCGCCCCTCGCGTGGCTTCCAGGCAGCTGCGCGAAGTGGCGAAAAAAGAGAACCGCTGATGCGGCTGTCTTGACCACAGGCCTGTCGCTACAAGGGCACTTACCATTTTTGCCCTTGAATTCACGTGCTTGTTTGAGCCCAACTCAGAGAATTCAAGTGCTGGCTTTGAGACCAGTCCTTTTTCCGTAAGGGCTGGTCTAGCTCCTAACCCAGATCTCACGTATACGTTCAGAGCCCATCCCCACCCCTCCACCCCCTCGTTCCCTTGTTATTCATTCCCTGCTTACGTAAAACACCTTACCTACCGGTTCCCCTGATGCAGTGAAGATCGGGTTATGTGTCTGCTATCACCGCAGCCCTTAGGTGTATTTGAACATCAACCTACTTTCACGATGTGTTACGCTCAAGTGCAGAAGGATGTGTATCCCTGAATCTAGTATTTCAACATCAACCTACTTTCACGATGTGTTTACGCTCAAGTGCAGAAGGATGTGTAGCCCTGAATCTAAGTGTTGAAATTGGGCTCAACCCGGAAAATTAAGGGCTAAAATTAGGCCACCTCAGCCCGCTAAGTTCTTCGGCCAGGGCAAGCGACAGCCCTGCTTGACCACCACCTCGATCCCCTCAGGCGCGCGTGTCAAGCAGCACGTGCCAGCACCCTCGAGCCACATGCCAGCCACGACCGACCCCAACCCCCCGTTCAACCCGGCGCAACTGCAAGCACTACTGGCGATGTTACAGCAGCACGCGCCTGCTACGGCGGGGATTTCAAAAAATAAGGATGTTACAACCTCTGCAAAATATGATAAGAAGATCGAAGAATTTCCCGCCGTCGCACCGCGCCCTCCCAAGACTGCCCGCATCAAGAAGGACCTGGCTTCTGCTCCTGTCGAAAACGACAACGACGAGTCAGACGACGCTGATGGTGAGGCCTCCCCTCGCCATCACAACCCAATTTCTACTCATGCTTCTTGCTCTACGCTTCCCCCCCTCAACCACAAACTACACATTCAACCGCAAAGGCGTACGCGACCAGGCAGAGGTTGTCTCTTCTATCCAGGCCCACCTCAGGCACATTGAGTTTAAGCTCCAGCAAGCCGATGCAGAAGGCGCTCGCACAAACATTTATCAAATCGAGTCGCTCATTAACAGTGATTTGGGGTGCTCTTGGTGGCGGACGAGGCGGGCTTCGAGGCGGACGAGGCGGGCTTCGAGGCGGCCGATCGCTTCCAGCTCTACCATTCCAAGAGCGTGCTGACCTCTTGTTCTTACAAGCTGGCCGTGGCCGCGTCGAAGCATGCTCGCATGACCTACAACCGTCCCACCCGCGGGGGTGGCCTCAACACCGGCGAACTCGGCAACAAAGGCTCCGGGCAAGGCTCTTGCCAGGAGAGGACCTTCAAGGGTACTTGTTTTCGCTGCAGCCAGCCCTGCCACATGGCGAACGCCTGCCCCATTGGGGGGCGTGGAGGCCAAGGCCCCACACCCGTGGTGTGAGGGACCAAAGGGCGGAGCCCTTTCCCCTAATGTCACAAGGACATAACGGGGCTGCACCAGGGGGTGCAAGGCTGAGGAGCAGCCTAAGAAACTAAGGGCAAGGGGGCCCAAGGAGGAGCCCTAGGGGCCATTAGCTATTGGTGCATTTGTGTAATTTTAGCAAGAAATGCCTATTATGTGACTATAAGTTGCCTATGGAAGTGTTTGTTGTTTTACTTCAATTTGGTACCGTAGGCTCAACAATGGGCTGCACTATGGTGTGGGCAACCAGCAAACAACCATTGCAAAGCAAAAAAACAAAACAAAAAACAGAAAAGGGTGAGAAAAATCAAGCCGAAAGGTTCATACACCTTAAGACGAGATCACGGGACGTGTGAGCCTCATCACGCATCAAGAGACCCATCAAGGTCCAGGAGGACCCAAGAAAAAAGCATGGAGGGTTGTGCATTGGGTGGCTGTTCACACCCAACAAGAGAGAGAGAGAGAGAGAGAGAGAGAGAGAGAGAGAGAGAGAGAGAGAGAGAGAGAGAGAGAGAGAGAGAGAGAGAGAGAGAGAGGCACTAGGGACCAATCCTTAGCCTCCCTTAGCCTCTCTTCCCTAGTATATAAGGCCTAGGAGCCCTTGTTCGTGTCATTGTTTTCTGTTGAGTTCCTTTCACTCTTCAGAATCCAGCGGCTATGGAGAGAGATCGAGTGAGAGAGAGAGAGAGGCACTAGGGACCAATCCTTAGCCTCCCTTAGCCTCTCTTCCCTAGTATATAAGGCCTAGGAGCCCTTGTTCCTGTCATTGTCTTCTGTTGGGTTCCTTTCACTCTTCAGAATCTAGCGGCTATGGAGAGAGATCGAGTGAGAGAGAGAGAGAGAGAGAGGCACTAGGGACCAGTCCCTAGCCTCCCTTAGCCTCTCCTAGCCTCTCTTCCCTAGTATATAAGGCCTAGGAGCCCTTGTTCCTGTCATTGTTTTCTGTTGGGTTCCTTTCACTCTTCAGAATCCAGCAGCTATTGAGAGAGATCGAGTGAGAGAGAGAGAGAGAGAGAGAGAGAGAGAGAGAGAGAGAGAGAGAGAGAGAGAGAGAGAGAGAGAGAGAGAGAGAGAGAGAGAGAGGCACTAGGGACCAGTTTTTAGCCTCCCTTAGCCTCTCCTAGCCTCTCTTCCCTAGTATATAAGGCCTAGGAGCCCTTGTTCATGTCATTGTTTTCTGTTGGGTTCCTTTCACTCTTCAGAATCCAGCGGCTCGCGCCGGCCGCCTTCGGCGGCCGCCGCTCAACAGCACGGCCTTCGGCCGCGCAAGAGGGGAGGCAAGGAAAGGGGACGACAAGGACTATAACTGCAAGTGTTACAACATGCAGGGTTAGCGTTCAACAACAACAGCAACACCCCCGGGCGTGCCTACTCCGCCATGGGGAAGCCCAAAGCCAGACCTGCCACACGGGAGGCTGGCAAGGGGAAGGCGCCTGCTACTCGACCAAGATCCAACAAAGCCACCCGTCCAGCCAGCGTAGGACAGACGCGACTGCGGCTACAAGGTCGAGCGGGTCGTCTTGGGCAGACTCGGCAAGCCGCGCCAAAGCTCCAGGACCAGGCCCGAGGGCAGCCCCAGGGGAGCCCGGCACAAAGCAAATCAGGGGGAGGTAATGCTGCAACTCCTCTGCTGCCGATACCGCCGCCGACTGCGCCGCTGGCTGCATCGCCTTGATCTGCACTCCCTACTGCAGCAGGGTCACGTGAAGCTGGTCGAGCACATACGACAGGAGCGTCAAGCAAGTCCCCGCGTGCATCACGCGCTGCTCGACGAGAGTTGGAGGCTCACCAGGAACCACGGCAGGAGGAGGAGGCGGGGCGGGAGGTGTTATCGGCCCCCATGGGTGCTGCGGACAGAGGGGCAAAGGAAATTGACGAAGCGGAGATTGGGCAAGCCGCTGCTATGCTACCCAGAATGGCTGCGGCGGGGAAGTCTGTGGCTGTTGATGCTGTTGTGCCTGCAGCGGAAAGGGCTGCAGTCCAGGTGTCTGCTGGCGTTTCTGCCGCTGTCTTTGACGCCGACTCAGTTTCACCCTCTGCCACCCCACGGGTTGCACAGGTTGAGGCTGAGGGGACGAGGTTGGGCGCGGATCCGGAACAGACCGCGGAGGTTGCGCTGTCCGCGTCCCCGACACCGGTGACACCGGTGGTGTCTGCTACGACTGGGGAGCAGGGTGACGCCCCGATGGCAGAAGGCGCGATGACTGCCGGTGCGTGCGCCGGAATGCCTGCTGCTGCCGCGGCCGCAAGCAGGCAGGAGCACGGCCAGGCGGTGGGAGAGTTTCCAGGACCCGCGAACGGCGATTCCTCCGGCGCTGCACGGTCAAAGTTGAAGAAGAAGCTACGGGCCCAGCCAGCGCCGAGACGGCCCGGAGCAGGGCTGGGACCTGGCTCCCCGGGACCCCTCCGAGGTTGGCTTCTGCAAGGGCAACCGCCATCAGAGTGAGCACATCGGTCGTCATCTGCGCGCACGCAAGAGGCACGAGGGGTTTCTGGACTCAACGAGGCGGCAACAGAGACGGCGGCAACCCGCCATGCAGAGCAGCTGGCTGCAAACCAGGACAACGGAACACACAGCCACTCACCGCTAGGCCCAGTCGCTCCAGTTGAAGAAGCCGTCGCCACTCGTCGCTCGGCTCGGTTGGGAACTGTCACGTGGGGTCCACCAAGGGGAGGCCGTACCCCGTGGATGCCGGTGGGGAGAGCGGGACTGGAAGCGACAGCTCGGCCAGTGCCGGCGGCAGGCCGGGGTTTCCGCGGTATGGGCCGCGGGAGGCGAGGGGGACGGCGGGGGGGTGTCGCTCGCCTGGGGGGAGCCGAGATCCAAGCACGAACGGGCCCTTGGCGGGAGCGTCACGACCGCCCAGAGGTTTTGGAGGCTGCAGCCAATAGGGAGGAAGCTCGTTCTGCCGAGGACACTGGGGATCCTGAGATTATGTGTGGAGAGGAGGCGGGCCCAGAGTCCGAAGAGATTTCTCTGGATAATGAGGAGGAAGTGGGAAGAGGCAGGAATCGAGTGAGGGGAGCGGGAGAGGGAGTGGACGGAGTGACATCCCATGCTGAAGGAGTGCCTGTACCAGCTGCCACGGTCACCAACGAAGTAAAATCGCCGGCCACCCTGGCAGAGGATGACGCCATTTGGCAGGCGGCAGAAATGTGGACTCTGGATCTCCTTCAACGGATGGACCAGCCCTTCCTAGTCAGACGACTGCCACCTCAAGTGTTGGACAAATTCTGCCTGTGTCTCCTCGCACCTCTCCTGCGGCTGTCAACAAACCCAGAATGCCCAGGTGCATGGGCGATCCTACTGTACCTCCCGAGGCTGACACTGCGCCCGCCACCAGAGCCAGTTGCTGGCAGTCGTTGGGCAGAAATCGAGGCTCGGCTGCACCATTTCTAGCTGGGAGATTGGGATGGTTTGTTCGAGGCTGCTTGCACCATCCCCGACACGGGTGCTCCGCTAAGGCACCAAGATGATGACGAGGGGGTTTGTGCGAGAGCGGAGGGTTTGGTTAAAAAAGGTAACATTTCGAAGGCAGTTGCGGCGTCACGTACGAGCCCCTTCGCCAAACCCAACCCTGCGACGCTATCCGCCCTGCGAGCAAAACACCCGTCATCGAGCACTCCAACAACAGTCTTGGTTACTAGGATAACTAGCTCCGAGCTCAGTATTCCACTCAAAACTCTACACGAAAACCTCGCAAAATGCCCGAATGGGGTAGGAGCGGGGCCCTCAAGCTGCTGTTTTGAACATCTACGAGACCCAGCCTTGGCGAATGAAGAGATCCTACTGCTGCTGGCGAATGTGGTAAATCGCCTTGCCAGCACTTTCCAGAGCCAACCGGTTCGCGCCCTTCTACTACCTTCTCGGCTCATAGCATTAGAGAAGCCAGGGGGAGGAGTTAGACCGATCGCAATAGGCGAGGCGTTACTCCGAGTGGTGGCTAAGGCAGTGCTACACAGTTTAGGCCCAAAAATCAGGGAGTTTTTTCTTCCCATCCAGTTTGGCGTAGCGGTCCCAGGAGGTGCGGAGTGTATCATCCACACGGTTCGCTCCCTCCTTGGAGACGACGATACCCGCATAGATCTACAGCTGGACGTTGAGAACGCCTTTAACATTGTAGAGCGCGCGTCATTCTTCTCCGCCCTCCAGTGGTCTACTCTCAACCCGCTGCTCCCGCTCGTCCGAAACCTCTATGATGGCCCCTCGCGGCTTTTAGTCGACCCTCGTTTGGAAGTGCAGCACATTCAGAGCTCCAGGGGTGTCCGCCAAGGAGATCCGCTGGGGCCTCTCCTTTTTGCGGCGGCGATCCAGCCAATACTTTTCAGCGTGGCCACGAGCGTACCAGAGGTGGCAATAGTGGCTTATGCTGACGACATCACCATCGTCGGGCCTCGTGAGGCAGCGTGCTTGGCATTCAACACGGTCGTCACGGAGTTGGCTTCATGTGGGTTACGGTGCAACCTTACCAAGTCGGCAGCATGGTGTGCGATACGGGAGGAAGGGGGAGATGGCCTGCCACACGGTCTCCCTATCCACCCAGGCGGTTTGAAGGTGTTGGGCAGCCCGGTCGGCAGCGACGCCTTCTGCACCGGCCAGGTCCGGGCGACGCTTGCGGAGGCGGCTGCGCCGCTACATCTCGTCTCCCAACTCAACCTGCAGCACGCACTACTCATGCTATCCCGGAGCATCTCCCGCCGCATCTCGTTTTTACTTCGCACAACACCAACAGATGCGCTGGCCCGTACGGAATGGCGGGAGTGGAGCGAGGCTTTGGTGGGAGCAGGGCTCGTGGCTTCGAAGCTTCAGATCCCGCCGAGCGAGCTAGAGAAGAGTTTACTATGGCGCCAGGCAACGCTCCCGGTGTGGCTAGGAGGCCTGGGAATCATTGACCCCGTCTCCGAAGCCCCAGCAGCATACCTAGCCTCAACTGCAGCGGCGCACCTTCTACTGCAGCAGCTGAACCTGCCGCCTTATTACCTTCTTCACAGGGCAGGGGACCTCCTCTCCCGGTCATGGGCCCCACCTCCCCCCCGGGTCAACCTGCTGTCACCGCTCGAGGCGAGGCGAGGCTCCCAGCACAAGCTGCGGCGGTCCTACGCAGCTATAGGGAGAACCCCAAGGGTGTGGGCAATCTGCAGCTGGGGCTATCCAAGGCCATCAACCACACGTGGGCTGAAGAGCTGCTGGCGGATACGGTGACTGATAGGCCGGGGGCGGACCGAGGCCATGCCATTCGGCTCATCAGCCTGAAAGGAGTAGGAGCGGGTGACTGGCTACATGCTGTGCCAACCAGGGCTGACCTCTCAATTTCCCCTGGTCAGTTCTCCATGGCACTAGGCCTGCGCCTGGGCATGGAACTATCAGTGGTGGAGGTCTGCCCCTGCAAGAGATCCAACTCCACGATAGCTGACAAGAGCTTGCCGAACCACTTACTACGGTGTGCAGATGGGGGGGATGCTATGCGCACCCACAACGCTCTGGCCTTCGCTGCTCTCCGCATGGCGCAGGAAGCCGGGTACAAGACCTTTCACGAGACGACTGCGTTCTCTCCCCCTGTCCAGAACAAGCGAGCCGACCTAGCCGTCAGGGACCAAGAGTCGGGAGAGACTTGGGCCACGGACGTGACTGTGAAGGACCCGGTCCTTCAGAGGAGGGATGTGAGGGCACGGAAGCCACCGGGGTGGGCAGCTGAGGAGGCGTCGCAGGCCAAGCACAGGCTCTACGAGGGGCGTCCTGGCTATGTTGGTTTCTTCGGCCTGGCGGTTGAGACCTACGGGGTGCTGGCCACTGACACTCAATAGTTCCTCCGTATGTTGGCTACCTACGCGGCAAAGAAGTACCGCCAGGGGCGCCTCACCACCACCGCTGCCCGCATCAACGCACACTACAGGCAGCGGTGGTCGGTGATGCTCCAACGCAGCCAGGCGACATCCCGCCTCTCCAAGTCTAACCGGGCAGCGGAAGCGGCATTCCCTCAGGCTGTAGCGGACCCTGGGGCACCCCGGCTAGGAGACCTCTGGCAGATGCAGATGGACGAGTATGAGGAGCGCCAGGCTCCCGCTAGAGCGGCTTAGGGGGCTGGGGAGGAGGAATCTCGGTGACAAGGGGAGGCTGGGTAGCGGCAGGGGAGGGATAAAGGGGCGTGATGAGGGTCAGGAAGAGGAATACTGAGTCTGGGAGTTTCCAGGTGGGCCAGGGAGATGGAGGGCGTCTCAGGGAAAGTGCGAGGAAGCTGCGGGGTGAAGAAGGATAAGGGGAGGCCCTATGGTATGGGAATAACAAGGGACAGGTGGAATGTGGGGTCCTCAGATACTTGTGATGCCATGAACCAGGATGCTATGAGAGCCAGGTTTTTTGTGTGCATTGGCTGAAGGGGTTTGCTCTGTTTGCTGGTTAGTTCTGGTTTCCTTATTGCTTCCATGCTTAGTCGAGCTAGTTACCACCACTTGCCATGCCTGTACCTTGTGACCCATATCAATACATGACTGCTTGAGAGAGAGAGAGAGAGAGAGAGAGAGAGAGAGAGAGAGAGAGAGAGAGAGAGAGAGAGAGAGAGAGAGAGAGAGAGAGAGAGAGAAGGCCTTAGCATCCAGCCCTCTCCCTCTTCCCTCTGCCCTCTCCCTCTGAGCCTATTTAAGGGGCCCTCTGTGCCTTCCCGGCCTCATTATTTCGTGGGTGTTTCATTTTTGGCGGAGAGAGAGCGAGAGAGAGAAGGCCTTAGCATCCAGCCCTCTCCCTCTTCCCTCTGCCCTCTCCCTCTGAGCCTATTTAAGGGGCCCTCTGTGCCTTCCCGGCCTCATTATTTCGTGGGTGTTTCATTTTCGGCGGCTCGCGCCGGCGGCCTTCGGCTGCGCATTCCTGGTGGCAAGACACAAAACGTGGGTTCGGCTTAAAGGGCACACACACACAAAGGCAAGGAGCTGGGCAAGAGCAAGAGGCGCGTCATGCAATTCTACACGCAGCGGAGGCCTACATCGTGTACGGCTCCACCCCTCCACCTCAAGCATCGAGCGCATGCACGCCGATACTGCAAGAAGGAGATGCGCCGACGACTGGAGCGTGTCCAAGGGGGTCCCGGCTTGAGCAGCCCCTACAAGATCCCCCACGTGGCGAGGGAAAGTACGGGCTAAGGGAGCTACCCCGGCGGGCACATCCGACACGGGTGCCAACGGCGACTCGCGCGATTCTGCCAAAGTCACGCAGGATCCTCGGGACCCTGGACCGAAACTGCTCGGAAAGCTCCGCGTGGCCCCACACACCGCCAGCTGCAAGTTCGCCACCACCTCGCACGCCTCCGCCAGATTCAAAATCCGGCACATGGTCAGCATGGGGTCTCTCCCCGCGCGAGTGGGGGGAGGTGCAGTCAGTGCTTCGCGCGGAAACGCCGCCGGCCAGCCAGGAGTCCGGCCAACAGATAAGCGCGGCGCAAAGAAGCCGGGAACCTGACGGGGGGTGCGGAACTGAGCCCTTCCCTCACGCGCGGGCTGATATTCGCGCAGCGTCGGCGCGCGCAGAGGAGCAACCTGGCCGGGGTCCGCGGCGAAGGGGGGACCGTTGGTCACCTCAATGTGGACGTGAGTCGGCGCCCCACTCGCCCGGGCCTGCCTCACCACCTCCACGAACGTGTCCGCAGCGCGATCGAGGGCAGGATCCGGCCGGTTGCCATTCCCGCCTCGCCCTCCGCCTTTCCGCCAGCCCCGCCGTCCCCCGGAACCAGCCGAATGTGGACGCGGGGGGGACTGCTCGCGGCGACCCGAATCCCAGCGTCGCCCAGGCGACCCCCTCCCCCGCGTCGCCGGAGATCGCCGCGGAGAGCGTTGCGCGGGGGATCGCGCTCGGGGTGAGCGCTGGCCTGCCTGACCACGAGGGGATGGGCGGCGAGGAGAGCAAGGACGTGCAAGGGAACGCTGATCCCCCTCCCCGCGCTGATAGTGCTCGCGATGCTCAGGAGAAGGGCGGCGAGGAGAGGGCGGCCGAGGAGGCTGACGCGGAGGCGAGCACCCGCGCTCATGCCGCGGCTGACCGTCCGGGCGGTTCGACGCAACACGTGCAGGCGCCCACGAATACTCCGGCGAGGTGGGGCGCGCGGCAAGCCGATGGGGAAGTGTTTGCACCCGCTCGAAGCGGCGAACGGGCTCGCTTGCGGAGGGGTGCGCAAGGAGACGCGGACGAGGCCCGGCAGGCGCAGGCTGCGGCAGCGCGCTCTCCGCGGAACCCTTCAGCTCCGGATCCCGTCTCGCGGATGGGTCCATCACCCCCGATCGTACCGCAGCCGACGCCAGCGCGCCGACGAAGCGAAAACGAGACGGTCGCGGCGCCGCAGACAGGGCGCGAGGGAGCTGCTGTTGGAAGAGCAACACGTGGAATCCGCGTAGGACGCGGCAGCCGCCGCGGACGACGAGGTAACGAGAGAGGACGAAAAGGTGGTGGAACACGAGGTTCAAACAGGCGCGGCACAGGTGCAAGCGGCTACGCGAGAAATGCAGAAAGGCTGATGCAAAACGGCGCGGAGGGCGGCGAGGAACCGCTTAGCGAGGAGGCAGAGGAGGAAGTGGAGAATGAAGAAAGTGACAAGGGTGACCCTGCTTTTAACCCTGAAAGAGAGGGGATGTTGGGGGCAGAAGCTGAGGAGGACGAGGAGGAGTAGGAACTTTTGCTTCGAGGAGAGGAGCTCCCCAGCCCAAATGTCCTAGGCGAACCTGCCAACCGAACCACAGCTCAGAACCAAGCCGCGGGGGGAAATCACGCAAGGAGGGGAAATCGAGCCGCGACAGAGACTGGAGTTGACTCTACGACAGCCAATGAGAATTCAGCAGCCCCAATTCCGACTCCCCCAATGCTCAAACCCGACGACCTGGCGAAAAATACGGACCTGTTCGCCCAGGTTGCCAATTGGGACATTGGCCCGCTACAAGACAGTCGCCAACCCCCGGTCGCTCGCCACCCTCCAAAAGACCTTCGCGAGTCTTTCGCGATTTGCCTGCTGACACCGTTACTCCACCTGGCAGCCAACCCTGAGTCAGAACCTGGCTGGATGTTACTCACCTTCCTCCCTCGCTTACTTCTTCGCTCCTCGTCAGCTCGTAAGCCTGACTGGAGCGCAATGATGAACAGGCTCCTGCGATTTCGCCAAGGGCTCTGGGCCGGCCTCTACAAAGAAGCTACCGAATCGATCTCCCTCCCCCCGCAGCTTCGCCACGCACCTGACACAACTGGAATTCTCGCCAGAGTGGAGGGCCTGGCGAAGCGTGGTAACCTCTCAAAATCGTTGCAATCCCTGCAAGCCACGCCCGTGTCGCCAGCCTCACCTAAAGTTCTCAAGGCCCTCAGGACGAGACACCCACCTACATCCCAACAACTACCTTATTGGCTGCACGCTGCCACAGCAGAAAACCCTCCCGCTATCGAAGCCCGCGACTTCAGAAGGATCATCGCCAAGCTCCCCAATGGAGTGGGGGCGGGCCCCTCAGGAACTACCTTCGAACATCTCCGTGATGCAGCACTAGGAAACGCCGAAGTCTTCACCCACCTCCTAGCCCTCACCAACACGGCTCTGGCAGGGAAGCTACCAGCCGTTGTAGGAGAGCTACTTACCGCCTCTCGTCTTTTGGCCTTCACGAAACCGCACGGTGGGACGAGGCCGATCGCGGTTGGGGAATGCCTACTTCGGATCATCGCCAAAGCCGCTCTTCTCCTGATCGCGCCCGCCGCTAGATCTCACTTCGTCCCCCTTCAGTTCGGCGTGGCGGTAGCGGGGGGCATTGAGGCCGCTATACACACGGCACGTACTTACCTGGAGGTCCACCCCGCGGCAGTAGCGCTACAGATCGACCTCGCAAACGCGTTCAACGCGGTCGAGAAGAGAGCGATGTTCAAGGGGTTGAGGAACGAAGCGCTCGAGAGCCTCACCCCCCTGGTCCGCCTGTCTTACGGAGTCCCCTCCTCGCTCTTCCTCGACCATGAGTTCGCATCGGCTCCACTGCAAAGCGCCAGGGGGGTCCGCCAAGGTGATCCCCTCGGCCCCCTTCTATTCGCCGCCAGCATCCACCCCTGCCTCGTTGCGACGGCAGCGGCTCACCCGCAGGTGGTCCTACTCGCCTACGCCGACGACATCACGCTGCTCGGTGATGCGTCTGCGTGCGCCGCGGCCTTCGACCACCTCATAGCCGTGCTCAACTCCATGGGGCTCCTTCACAACCCTGCTAAGTGCGCGGCTTGGTCCGCCGCCCCAATTGACCCTGCCTCCGTCCCCCCCGGCATCACCATCTCGACCGAAGGGCTGCAAATCCTCGGCAGCCCCGTCGGCACAATGCAGGGCTGCGCCGCGGCAGTCAAGGACGGACTTACGGCAGCAGCTGAACCGCTCCCGTTGCTAGCGCAAATGGACCCGCAGCTCTGCCTCCTCCTCCTCCTCACACGTTGCGTCAGCCGCCGCGCCTCCTTCCTGGCAAGGACAACCCCGCTGGAGGTCCTGCCCACAGCGGAATGGTCGACATGGGGGGAGCGGCTGCTCCACGCGTTCCTAGAGGCCGCGCACATTGTCGCGCCAAGGAGCAACGCGGAAAGGAGGCGTATTTGGCGGCAGGCAGCGCTCCCCGTTACCTTGGGGGGTTTAAGCATTACGGACCCGGCCGTGGAAGGGAGTTACGCGTACCTCGCTTCGGTGGTCGGCGCGGCTCACCTCCTGCACTCGCTAGCCGACTCCCTACACCCCGCCATAGCCGCACTGCTCCCCCTTATGGACTCCGCCCCGGACTCCACAGCAGCCCTGCCCTCGCGCCTAGCTGCAGCTGAAGCGGCCCTGCCCCCTGACGGCCTGGAGGCCCTTCAGGCTGGTAAGAGTGACCCCAAGGGACTGAAGCTCCAGCAGTCCCTGGCCCTGGCGGTCCACACCCGCCGCTACCTCCGAGTGCTGAACACGGCGCGGCGTATGCGCCCAAACCCCCTCTCAGAGCATGCTCAGCGGATGCAGTCCCTGCTGGGCCCGGGAGCAGGGGACTGGCTGCTGGCAATCCCACTCTCTTTTGCGCTGAGGCTGGGCCCCTCCCAACACTCTACTGCTTCCTCCTTCCGCCTAGGCCTCCCCCTCCCTGTCCCAAGGCGGTGCGACTGCCGATACCGCAACACCTTTCCTGATGACCGCCTCCCGAATCACCTTATGCGCTGCGAGAAGGGGAAAGGGAGGACTGCCACACACCATGCTCTCAGGGATGAAATCGCAAGGATAGGGGCGGAAGCAGGCTTCACGGTTCACAAGGAGACCTATGCCTACTCTCTGGTTGAAAACCTTAAAGGGATGTCTCCATCCGCCATCCCCTGACCGGAGAAGTGTGGCTTTGTGACGTGACCGTGACCTACCCAGTGTCCTTCCAGGACGAGAACTGCAACCGCGCACCTGGTTGGGCGGCTAGGGCGGCAGCTGCTCGGAAGGAGGAGAAATATGCGGGACGGAATGCGTGGGTGGGGTTCCACGCCTTGGCCATGGAGACCTACGGCTACCCGTCGCCGGGGGTACTGGCTTACCTGCGGCAGTGCGCGGAGCTGGCTGCGAAGCTCCGCTACAACGCGGCCCCTACCTCTCGAGAGGCTGCCAAGCTGCTGACGGAGTACCGCCAGCGCTGGAGCGTGTGCCTCCAGAGGGCACAGGCAAATGCCCTCCGCACCAAGACCAACGATGCCCTGGAGGCGGACGAGCTCAACCTGCAAGGGCCGTGGGCCCCTCTCAACGAGGGGCAGCTGCACCAGCTGATCGAGCCCCCGTCCGACCACTAGGGTCGGACAGCGGGGGGAGGGGAGGGGAGTAGGTGATGGTTGATAGGTCTGCTTGCTTGCCTAGTTTGCATGTGTCTGCTTGAAACCTTTGTACCACCCTTCAGCTAATACACGGGCCATTTGAGAGAGAGAGAGAGAGAGAGAGAGAGAGAGAGAGAGAGAGAGAGAGAGAGAGAGAGAGAGAGAGAGAGAGAATCTGGCAGCCCGAGCAGAGAACCCCCCATTGGGGGGACCAGAGGGGGAGATGAGCCCCGGGGACTGCTTCACAACACTAGAGGCACCTTAGACATAGGGGGGGGGGGGGGGGGGGGGGGGGGGGTGGGTAGGGGTGTGTGGTTGCTTGCTTGCGTGTTTGGTTGCTCCATAGGTTTTGTTTGCTTGTCGTTATGCTAACTGAAATCTCCCTTAGGATCTGCAAGTCTGTACCACCCCCTGTTATCAATGCAAAGGACCGTTAGAGAGAGAGAGAGAGAGAGAGAGAGAGAGAGAGAGAGAGAGAGAGAGAGAGAGAGAGAGAGAGAGAGAGAGAGAGAGAGAGAGATGGCATAGTCCTTCCTTAGCCATTTCTAGGCCTTCCTTCTCTAGGGACCAGTCCTTAGCCCCTCTTAGCCTCTCACCCCTAGTATATAAGTCAAGGGAGCTCCTGCTTTCTCATTGTTTTCTGTGGAGTTCATTTCACTCTCAGAATCCAGCGGCTCGTTTGAGAGAGAGCGAGAGAGAGAGAGAGGGATGGCATAGTCCTTCCTTAGCCATTTCTAGGCCTTCCTTCTCTAGGGACCAGTCCTTAGCCCCTCTTAGCCTCTCACCCCTAGTATATAAGTCAAGGGAGCTCCTGCTTTCTTATTGTTTTCTGTGGAGTTCATTTCACTCTCAGGATCCAGCGGCCTTCGGCCACGCGTTTGGGGAGGCAAGTACCACTGGCGGGACAGGTTCACTAAATGAAGCAAGGCATCATGCAACTGTAGACAGCGGACACACCATCAACACCCCCAACTGAGGGGCTGCCTCCATGGGGAAGCCAAAGGCCCGGGGAAGAGTAAATAAGGCGGGCACGGGGAAAGGGACGGCTACTCGGCAAGGATCCAAGAAAGCCGCCCGTCCATCCAGCGTAACACGGATGCGACAGCTGGTACAATGTCGAGTGGTGCCTGCAAAGCGGCAAGCACGAGCCGCCTCAGCGCTGCGGGACCAGGCCCCAAAGCAGACCCGGGAGAGCCGGGCACAAACCCGATCTCGGGCAGCATCTGCAAAATCTGCACCGCCGACGCCACAGCCACCGTCTGTTCCTGCCCTGACAGCATCGGGGGAAGAGCCCCAGGATGACGCGTCCGGCGCTGATAAGCGCCAAGTTGGTCCAGCACATCCACAACCAGTGTCAGGCACGTCCCCACGTTCGACACGCGCTGCTCGACGCGGAGAGCCCTTTCAGCAGGAGGGGACTCGTCCCATAAGCTCCAGCGGTGCTGGGGGGTGCCAGGGGGGGGAGCCTCGAGTGCATCCGGCGGTAGCGACTCCCACGGGTAGGCCCCGTGCTGCGGAATGCCCGACGTTGCAGCCCCACCGTGCGACTGAGACGAGACAAGATCTGGGTCGACAGGGGCGGGTGATGGAGAGGCAGGAGGATGTGGTAGCTGAGGTGGAGCCGGCGGCGGCCCAACCGGCGGGGATGGGCTCGGCGGCGGATGTGGCGCCTCCGGACGCGACCCGTGGTGAGGAGCTAGGTTTGGCTGTCGCTGAGGCCGACGCTGAGATCGGCGCTGGGTGCGCCGAAACGCCTGCTGTTGACGAGGCCTTAGAGAGGCCCGAGCGCGACCTGGAGGAGTCTGGAACGTCGGCACATGAGACCCACGGCGACGGGAATGATGCTCGCGGAGCGGGTGCGCGGATCCGCGCCCGACCAGCACCGACGCGGCTTGGATCAGGGCTGGCGCCTGGTCGCCCGGGACCCCTCCGGGGCTGGCTTGTGCCAGCGCCGCCGCGACCAGAGCAAGCGCATCGACCGACATTGGCGCCGCGACCTGCCGCACAAGAGAATGGAGGGGCAGCTACAGAAGAAGGTTCCGCGGTACGGAATACAACGACGCAAGAGGCGTCGGCGGCGGAAGGGGGACGGCAGCCTCATCACAATGCCCAGGTTCCGACACGACGGGAGACGAGGAGCTCAACGCGTGCACAGGGCATTACCTGGGGACAGCCCCGAGGCCCACCCCACGTACCGTTTAACGGCCCGTGGATCCCGACGGGAAGAGGGCCACAGGCGGCACAGGGCGGGGGACGATCCGCGGGTCGAGCAGCCCGAGGCGGGGGACGAGGAGCACGAGGGGACCAGGGAGATCGCGGTGCTGTGGCCGGGGGGAGGGGCGGACGTGGGACCACCGGAAGGGCAAGAGCCCCGCTGCTAGGAGGAGAGGCGGCAATCGAGAGAACGGGCACGTGGCGGGAGCGACACGACCGCCCTGAACGGACACTGGAGCCAGCCAATGGGGGTGAAGCTGCTTTTGACACCTCACCGAATGGGAGTGAATTTATCCCGTCCGGCTCAGATACATCGGAAGGAATCTCCCTGGGCGAAGAGGAGGAGTTTCGCCACGATGGAGGCAGGGGACGGGGGAGACGGACAGGAGCCAGTGGTATACCATAAGCCGCCAACGCAAGAGCTGGGCCGGCGGAGGGAGAGGTGACACAGCCATCTGAAAAATCCCCTGCTGATCTGGCAAACGACGAGAGCATCTGGCAGCTGGCCAGTACCTGGGACGTGGCGCCACTGGTTCGTGTGGACCAGCCCTTCCTGGTGCGCCGAATGCCCCCTAAGGTCCTGGAGGGCTACACGATGTGCCTCCTGGCGCCCCTTCTGCGTGTGGCGAAGCACCCCGACTGCAAAGGAGCATGGACGGTGCTATAGTTCCTGCCACATTTGACCCTTCGGCCCCAACCAGAGCTAGTGGAAGGCAACCGATGGATCAAAATTGAGACACGGCTACACCACTTCAGGCTTGGAGGCCTTGCAGACCTCTACAGTGAGGCCTGCGATGTACCCGTTACGGAAGCCCCGACACGCCACCAGCCTGATGACGCTGGGCTCTGTGTAAGGGCAGAGGGGTTGATTAAAAAAGCAAAAATTTCCAAGGCCGTGGCTGTGCTACAAGTGACCCCGTTAGCGGAATCTTCACCGACCACACTTGCGGCACTAAGGTCGAAACACCCCATGGGCGAGAAACCTATCCCAAGCTGGGTTACCAGCAGGACGGGCTCATCAATTTCGTCAGTATCTGTGACCCCTGACGATGTCCGCGAAGTCCTCGCAAAATGTCCAAATGGAGTGGGTGCTGGGCCTTCTGGTACTTGCTTCGAACATCTCAAGGACCCGGCTCACTGCAGCGAGGAGGTTCTGTTGCTCCTCACGAAAATTGTCCGCCAGTTGCTCAACAGCGAACAAACGCAGGCTGTTCGTGACCTAATCCTGCCGTCCCGATTGATAGCCTTGGAAAAGCCAGGAGGCGGCGTCAGACCGATAGCGATTGGGGAAGCATTGCTTAGGGTGGCCGCTAAGGCAGCACTGCGGGAACTGGCGCCGGCGATACGGGAGTTCTTTCTCCCCGTCCAGTATGGTGTCTCCATGCCTGGTGGGGCAGAGTGCGTCATACACACAGTGCGCGCCCTGCTCCGTGAAAATGAGCACCATGTAGCACTACAGCTCGACGTCGAGAACGCTTTCAACTCGGTCGAACGTGAGGCCTTCTTCTCAACGCTCCAGATCTCTGACCTGCATCAGCTTTTGCCGCTCGTAGGGACGCTCTACGACTCGCCCTCGCGACTCTTAGTCGACCCAGCGCTCGGCGTGGATCATATCATGAGTTCCAGACGGCATCAAAGTACTTGGCAGCCCGATCGGCACCCCAGCCTACTGTACCCCTCAAGTCCAACAGGTGTTAACCAAGGCAGCGGCTCCGGTACCACTGATTGCACAACTTCACCCCCAGCACGCTCTGCTCCTGCTCAGTCTCTGCATCTCACGCAGGATCTCATACCTGCTCCGCACAACCCCGAGTTGTACACTTGAGCGGGAGGAATGGAGGGCGTGGAGCGAGTCACTGCTGGGGGTGGCGCTCGCTTCGGCCAAGCTCAGAATCCCCTCAAGCGAGCTCGAGCAGAGCCTCCTGTGGCGGCAGGCGACACTTCCCATACGCCTTGGCGGCCTGAGCATCATTGACCCAACCTCTGAGGCCCCGGCGGCTTACATTGCTTCGCTGACCGCTGCCCATCAACTGCTGAAGCAGATGCACCTGCCCGATTCGGACCTCCTCGCCCACGCGGAGACCATACTCTCCAGGGAATGGGCTCCTCCCCCGCCAGCGGTGAACGTGATTGCGGCGCTGGAAGAGGGACTGCCATTGGAGGCGAAAACGGCTCTGCAAAGTTACAGGGAAGGGCCACAGGGGCAAGGGAACTTGCAGCTGCTACTCTCCAAGCACATCAACACGGTTAGGGCAAGAGAGATGCTAGCAGACACGATCATGGATCGGCCGGGAGAGGATCAAGGGCATGGGGTCAGGCTAGTCAGTTTGAGGGGAGTGGGGGCGGGGGATTGGCTTCACGCGGTGCCAACGAGATCTGACCTTACATTTGCCCCTGGTCAGTTCTCGTTAGCACTCGGGTTCCGCCTCGGTATGGCTATGCCAGTTACAGTCAAGTGCCCCTGCAAGAATGACAACTCTGACATCGACGACACTAGCCTAGCTAACCACCTGCTACGGTGTGGACACACAACGCTTTGGTTTATGCGGCCCTGCGAATGGCACGGGAGGCGGGGTTCAACACTTTCCACGAGACCGCGGCTTTCTCACCCCCTGTCCTCCGCAAGCGCGCGGACTTGGCCTTCCAAGTTCGGGAATCTGCAGAAACCTGGGTCACCGACGTCACAGTAACGGACCCGGTGCTTCAGAAGCGGGACCCAAGGGTCCGGAAGCCGCCAGGGTGGGCAGCCAAAGAGGCTTCTGAGAGGAAACACCGCCTCTACGATAGCCGCCCGGACTACGTGGGGTTCCTGGGGCTGGCGGTTGAAACGTATGGGGCACTGGCGGCAGACACGGTCCAGTTCCTCCGTCTGCTGGCCGTGGCAACTGCTAAGAAAAGGTTCAGACAGGGGCCGCTCACTACCACAGCATCTAGGCTCAACGCACATTATCGGCAGCGCTGGACGGTGATGCTGCAACGCTCCCAGGCCATCTCCTTCCTCAACAAATTGAACATGGCAGCGGAAGCGGCGTACCCTCAAGCACCCATGGATCCCTGGGAGCCTAGCCTCGGGGACCTCTGGCAGGTGCTTGACGACGACTTGGCAGGAGTGTAGAGGCCGGGGAGCGGGAGCAGTGGTGGCAGAGGCGGGTAGCCAGGTTCGGGAGGAAAGGGGGTCTGTTGGATGAGGGTGCTGGCACAGGGAGCTCTCGAGCGTGGGTTATGCTTGCTTAGGACGGCCTGTGCCTTGTGTTTGCTAGTGTGCTTGTCTTGCCTACCCATTTGCTAGCATGCCTAGAACAGTCAACTGGCTGTGTCCCGTCCCTGCATGTCTGTACCTTATAAGCAACATAAATGCATGACCGCTTGAGAGAGAGAGAGAGAGAGAGAGAGAGAGAGAGAGAGAGAGAGAGAGAGAGAGAGAGAGAGAGAGAGAGAGAGAGAGAGAGAGAGAGGGTTAGCCTCTGCCCCCTGCCATTAGCCTCGGCCCTTAGTAGCCTAGCTATTTAAGGGCTTGTGCTAGCTTCCTTTGCTCATTATTCATTTGGCGGCTGCAATTTCTCGCTCGCGCCGGCCGCGGCAAGGAAAAACACACAGTGACAATCATAGGCGCAACCAATACACGCATGGCATCACAAACAGATTTCAGAACAGCCTAGAACGGGTATGGGGCAAACGGAGCCCGCATCTACATGCGGTGAGCTCCAAGGGCGTGAAGAACGCCCGTCAGGGTCCGCCACAGCTCCCGGACCACAAGCGTGCTTGCGCCGATCGCGGCGGCTCCAGAACCTGCACGCAAATGGAGCCTCAGGCTGCGTACAGTCTCATCGAGCTGTCTAGCAGCCGCAACCCCACCCTCTGTGGGCGCAGCCAGCACGGGCGCCAGCAACACTGCGAGCTGGTCAGCTGCGTCCAGGCACGACTCACGGTGGGGATCCTAGAACGTCTCAGGGGGGACTGCAGGAAAAGACGAGTGCGCGAGAACTTGTATCAGGAGCAGAGCGTGAAAGCTCTCCGCGAGGCGGAAGAGCTGGGCGAGAGTCGCCTTTGGAACACGGCACTGTGGAGGCTGTAATGCCTGCGCTAGAAACTGAAACGGCTCCTCGAGGGCAAGAGTTGCTGAACCGCCAACTCCGGGATGAGGATACTGCGCTCCTCCTCCCGCCACAAATTCGACTCCCGCCACTGGCGGAACGGGCGCCAGACGAAGCCGAGACCCAGGAACAGGAGAGGAGGCAGAAGCAGCGGGAGCCGATGGGACCGGAATCCGATGAGGGACTGGTGCAGCAGGCGGCGGATTCTCAGGAAGCACAGCCTGTCGAGGAGCAGCATGGGCCATGACATCGTGAGAGCTGCCCTGGGTCAGGGCGGCCCTCTCCTCACGCACCACAGTTGACACCGCCCGCTGCAGATCCGCCATCCTCACGAGCGGATCGTACGCCCCACCACCTCCGCGACCGCGGGGACCCCACCAGCCACCGCGACCGTTGCGGTTCGCGTACCACTGGGCCTGCGGATGGTGGCGACGGGGAGAATTGCGCCGGCGCTGTGAGGACTCACGATCCTGGTAGGGAGCGGGAGAATGGGGGCGAGATGGGCGGCGGGCAGGCGACGGCGGGCGAGACGGCTGCGCCACTGGAGCAGTCGGTGGCACAAAGGGGGCAGCCGGATCTCCAACGAGGCCGGGCCGCCAATGGTGGCGGACGCCGCCTGCGGGGACGAGGCAGAGGCAGGAGTTGGCAACTAAGGCGCGGCAACAAGTCCCGCAGGCACGGGAGCCAAGGGGTTGGCGACAGACTCCGGCGGTGCAGCAGGGGACGCCTGGGGATCAGCCGGCACAGCCGGGGCGGACGGCACAGCAGCAGCGGTTGCAGGAGCCTGAGCGACAATAGTCGCAGTTGAACCAGGCGCATCCGCGACAAGGAGAGCCGCGGGTCCGGGGTGAGGAATCTTTTCAGAGGATGTTGTCGAGGGCTTCGGAGCCGGAGGCAGAGGGGGCTTCGTCGCTGTGGTCGCCCTTTTGGGCTTAGACTGAGGCTTGGCGATCATTGCCGACCAGGCGGCAACGAGCTTTGGCGACGCCTCAGGCGCACCGGCAATCACCATCGCGTAGACGAGGGGCTCAGGGAGAGAGGAGCCAGGCGGTTAGCGGAGCAGGCGTAGGACCGGAGAACGGGTATCAGGCGGCAGGGAGACGGGCTTTAATAGCTCTGGTAGCAGCTAATGAAGTTGAGGAGAGAAATGACCCCTCTTATATCGTGGAAGTGCAACCAAATGTGAAGTAATGAAAACAGGAATGAAAATGACTAAGGAAAGATTGGGTACAAATACAACCCTAGAAACCCTGTACCCCATATGTGCTACCCCACTATAGCCTACAGCAAATATGTCATATAAATCTGACACACCCCCATAGGCAAAGTGGGGGAGAACAAGGGGTCACAAGACCAGTCAAGTAAAGCAAAGCAGAGCAAGCTCAGGGTGGATCACAAAGT